ATCTAGGATTTAATTCATTTCTGAAACACAGAAATTCCGATCCAAACCCAGTACAGCATTTTATCTACCAAACCCAAGCAGCCTTTAAGATTTGCTGTGGTCTGTACTGATCCTAAACTGACCTCAGATGAGGACCTCAGATGAACCAACTGTGAGCAATTCCAGTTAACGTTATTCCCAGACTTTCAGCTGCTTGAGCTGTTGATCGACAGGCTACCACATACATATACCAGAATATCCTAATTTCCTTGTGAAAAGACCAGATGACCCAGGCTCCATCACCCCTAATGACACCTCTTTCCACAGGGGACTCCCTCACCTATCACCAGGGCCGCCCCTTCTCCACCAAGGACAGGGACAATGACGTCGCTGTGACCAACTGCGCCATGTCCTACAAAGGGGCCTGGTGGTATAAGAACTGCCACCGCACCAATCTCAACGGCAAGTACGGAGAGTCCCGGCACAGTCAGGTAAGGGCAGAGCTGGGCTGAGGGCCTTCAGCATTTCTTCCAGCAGCGTGGCCAAGCACAACGGCAAGCCCAAGCTAGGGCTGGGGCTGTGTGGTTGGTGCACCAGGGTCAGGAGCAGCACTGGGTTGACTCAACACAAGCTGGAACAAAGTCAACCACCTTCAAGCCATTTAGGCTGGTGCTTTGTGCCTCATGCTGGCTGCCATGGTCATTTACTGTGGCACCTTGTTAAGTTACATTGAAAAAAAATACATACATAAAATTTGATCAGGAGCCTTTGAGCAGTGGGAAAAACCCATCAAGCCAGAGCAGCAGCAGAGTTTCTTGCTCCCACTGTAGCAGGACCTTTCTTCTGCCTTCTCTATGGTGGTCAACTTTGATTCCTTCTTCTTCCACTCTAGTTTCTTGTTAGGATCTTTCTTTACCCTGTGCCTTTCTCTCCTTCCTGCCAGGGGATTAACTGGTACCATTGGAAAGGCCACGAGTTCTCCATCCCCTTTGTGGAAATGAAGATGCGACCTTACAACCACCGTAACATCTCTGGGAGGAAGCGACGGTCCCTACAGCTCTGAGCCAGCTGAACTCCCTCCCGCCTCCCACCACCTGACCTTTTCTGTCATTTGTTTGTATTTTATAGTATGAAAATGGGAAAAAAAAAATTACTACTCGTCTCAGATAGCAACCTGCCCCTCACGAGTGCTTGAGGGAACCGTGGCACAAGCAAAGGCCTTGGGAAAGACCTCATTGCTTTGCATCTGTCCCAGAGAAATACCAAATTTCCAGTCTCCCTACCCCAATACTCTGGCCCTTAACATGAGAAGAAAGAGAGAGAAAGAGACAGACAGATTTTTGATATTTTTTTAAAAGACTTAGAAATCCCCAGCAAACCCGGTTAGAAATGTTTGTCATGGGGCTCATGGCAGAAATTTTCCCCACAGGGACCTTGGTGCGGCCATTTCCACACCAGTCATGGCCAGGGACACCCATCCTCTCCCTGCCTCCCTGTCCCCTCCTAGCAGGGAGGTCCCAAGCTTCGTGCCATCCTGTAGACACCAACTCTTCCAGCAGGCATGGGCTGAACTCTCCTTCTGGCCTGGTCATCCCTCCCCTATGCACAGGGACTGTACACATGGAGACAAAGCGAGGATGAGCAAACGCAACGTTCATCCCATCCTCAGTTTTCACAGATCACACCAGGAGGGCTTGGCAAATATCTGCATATGTAGGCGAACTCTAGAGAGTCCACAGCTCATGTGTTGGCTCCACCACAGCCAAAGTCATCCTCGTGTACATGGAGTGCAGGGGAACAAGAGCTGCTCCACCAGACCCAACCTGCATCATCCACTCCTCTGAGCTGAACTCATCCCACTTCAGGTGGGCAACATCTGCTTGGGTTACGCTGAGCTTGATGGAGAAGAAAGGAGTCAAATTAGAGGACTTGAGAGACAAATCACTACTTGCAGTCTTGAAGTCTAGGGCCCGTTTCCTCTGCTATTTCTACATGCCACCACACTGTCTCTCACTGAGGTCACTGGTCCCAAACCAAAGAGTCTCAGAGAAGGACCTGCAACCAAAAGAGCGATCACACAACTGCAGCCCAGCCTGAAGCTGGCAGCTGGCACAGCCCAGGTGCTCTTTTTCAGGGACCTCCAGGCACACAGGGAAGGATGATAGCACAGCCGAGGGAAGGCAAGTGCAAGCCAAGAAATGCCCATTCCCTTCCTTCTTGTACACCATCCCTCTTTGCCACCATCACAAGAGGAACACAAATCTCAGTGCCTTGGTATCTCTCTCTAATGGGAAATCAACCGTTTCCCCTCCTGGAAGGAAGGTTTAGTCCATTCAGATTTTGGAGCACTTCAAGACCCTTGGAAGAATAGATGCGTTCGCCCTTCCCATCCTTAACTTCTCCTATCTTAAGGAAGATGGACTCTTCAGATAGCTCTGGCTGTGCTCTGTTATCATTGACACCACCTCCATGTAGCTCAAACAACCACCATGCTGGAGTCACTCCTCTGCCAAGGGCTCTGATCAATGCTGGGCATTGTCACTGGCCTGGTCTCGGAGAAGGGACTTGTCCCCACGTCCAAGGACAATGCAGCTCATCGCTGGGTTTGCAGCCAAGGGAGCATTACAAATGCTAAACACTGCTTTTTGATTTTATCACACTGAAGCTGCTTTGTCTCAAGAAACATCTTCCAGATGGCAACATAAAGGCATCTTTGCAGTAGCTTATAATTCAGGCCAGTGTCTCTTTCATGATCACGCTCCTGGATCTTCTGACATTACTCACCACGGCTGCAGAGCTGAAGAAGGGCATTAAGCAGGAAACGCAGCCTCCTTGTCCATGTCACGTACTGGCACATGAAATCACAGCTAACCCTAAGGTCATCATCAGATACAGGGTCCAGCCCTTCAAGTGGTCAGCTTACAAGCTGCAGTTCAACCTAGACAAAGGATGCTGTAGCTCGGCAGCATCTCACATGTAAATCAGGCATCTCTTCTTACTTCCCATCAGCATCAAATCAGGCAACAAGTCAACCAGTTGAGGAACAGGTCAGTCAGAGACGCTGTAGATGATGGAAACTCTTGTAGGATATGGCCCATGTCATAGATGGCAGCATGTCACACCTCCTGAGCAGCCTGCCCTATTTTAGGTCCCAAAAGCCAATAAGAAGCAGCAGGTAGAACTGATTAAAACCTAAGAAGCCTCCTAGTAGACCAGCAGAGTAATATTTTTCCCAACATCACCAAGAGTTTATCAGCAAGAAGTGTCCTAACAAAAGCACTATATTGAAGTGGTTATAATTAGGAGTAGAGATTGGCAGTGGATAGCATTCATCGCCTGTCTCAAATGGTGCTGTTTGCTTATCTACCCAGGCGAAAGGAAGAGACGTCAGTGGAAACATGGGAGCTCATCATTCGCAATCAAGTGGAAGGCAAGAAACCTCTCTTCTCAAAAGTATGAGTCAAACAGAAAATCAAAACATGCCAAGCTTTTCCAGGAGGTTCAAAAGAAGATCCTCAAAAAGGCTGATTATTCTCTAAATAGATTTACTGACGTATATCTCTCCCTCCCTGCTCATGTCTGTCATCCCTTTTATAGGTTCTGTAACTGGGATGAGAGGACCTGGTTGACACAACTCCATCGTCGAGTCTGAAGGATGCCCTTTGAGATAATATCCAACCTTCCGGTGCCATTACATACCAATGCTGGTCCCTGATCTCACACATGGTACCAGGGTGTTGCCTTTCCATTACCTTGGTGAAACGTAGTTGTCAAAATCTTTTAAAAGAAAGACTTCTACACATCATGGTTTTCTCCTGGCGATAACCTAACCCAAGCCTAAGCAAACAATCAGCAATGATGACCCAGTCATTTGGGCCATTGTTCCTTGTTCACATTGTCCATATACAGATGCAATTTTCCAGAAATTTATTTTTCATCATTGCCTGATGAATTTTTTTGGACAAAGCTCCTGCCAGTGGTTTCAAGCAAATTTGTGCTCAACATTGATGCTACAGAACAGCCAGGTGATTAAGTCTCTCTTTACCCTCCATCACTCTTTGAGCAAGCCCTTTTTCTGAATTCATTTTCCAGCCAGAGCAAGTTTGGCCCTGTCCCCGATCATCACAGCACTGAGACTGAATGAAGTCTTGGCAACAGCCTGAAATTCCCAGAAACCCAGCCTGGATCCTGTGCAATGCTCTTCTCAAAAGACCTCCAGCACGCGAACCATTGCTGGACTCTGGTGGCTCCTCTGCCATCCAGCTCATATGGCCCAGGCTTGCCCCAGACCCCCAAACGAACTTGAAGCTGTACCCAAACCACACTATCCACTGCATGATGCCAACTCCCATAACATCAAGCAGGGAGAAGCACGTCAGGTCCTTCACCCAGCAGAGCACCACATGTGCCCAGGACCCCTGCAGCCTTTCAAAGCCACCTCTTATTTCTAACCCCAAAATCCTGGAAGGAAACACCAAGGGACTTTCTCATCTCTTGACCAGTTTTGATTTCGCTCTGTTTCCATTCCTGTCAGACCTCCAAGCCCACCTTCCCACCATGCACTGCACTAAAATGTAACCAAAGAAGAAAAAAAAAAAAAAGGCCTGAAAGGAAAAGCTGCTTTTAGTAAAGTGATCCTTAAGGCAGCCTTTACAAACAAATAGTTTGGGGAAGGAAAGAGGCCAGGCCCTCCCCAAAGGTAGCTGGGTTTTAGCAGAAGGATGCTGGAAGAGTATCCACACAAAGGCTGGGGAAAAGCCTTTGCTTCTACTCCTTATCTTTGCATTACTTTACTATGTGCGTCTCAAAGCATAGTACCAGCCTAAACACACTCTTGACCCAACCTCTTACCTCCTTCCCAGAGTGATGCCTACCCCAGATGAAGCATCAGGGTGCTGAAAGCACAGCTCACACCACCTTCATCCCCAGCACCCCAGCGGGGGAGGGCTCAGGCAGTGGTGTCTCTGCACTGGGGTGGCCCTGGGCCCACAACAGGCTTAGAGTAACCTGCCAAAATACAGCAGGAGCGAAAATACCCACTCAGCGCATCGCCTCCATGCCAGCATGTGCCCTTCATCCAGACCCAGAGCTGCCCTCCTGATATATCCCCACCATTGCACCCTGGGGTGACCACACAACCCCTGCCCGACAGCCCCCAGTGACACCCACAAGACTTGACCTTACAGACACTGCCAACAAAGAGCTCTCACCCAAAAAACCCCTTTAATTCATGCTTACAGCCACTAACGAAGGGCTCTGTCCTGGGGCCAAGTGAGAAGCCCATCCCTATTTCTGCCAACCAAGCACCTCAGGATGTCCATCAATCCCAACTGAACCCCTTGGGGACCACTGGTACCATCCAGGGTCACCTTCCCCCTTAAACCTGATGGTGCCAGATGGTGGCGGCAGCTCCTTGCCCCTTCCAGGGCAGGGATTTGGGGTAAGGGAGAGGGAAAGGCTCTTCCCTGGGGAGATGCTGGTGCCCAAACCCACCTCAGTACCCCGCCTGCAGCTCTCCAGGTGTCAGTGGTTTCTCAGAAGGATGGTGACAGGAAGACCTAAACAAACAAACAGGCAGCCCCCTGTGTACAGGTGTTACCCTGGAATTGTGTTTATTACTTTAAAAAAATTAAAAACCATAAATAAGAGAGAAGAACAGAGGCAATGAAATCCCTTGGACAGGTTCTGATGAACTCAAACACAAACCAATGCAACCAAACGAGGGGGAAGATAAAAAGCAAATAAATGCATAAATAAAATAAATAATATAAATAAATAATATATTAAACAACCCTCCCCACCCTGTAATGAAAACGTAGCTCAGAGAATGGGATCGACGCTTGTTAACCATTGTTAACTAGTATTTTTAGTCCTGACCGCTCTTAGGCTATGTATAGTTCCTTTTTTTAATGCATTTTCTATACATTAATAAAAGATACCGAAGGAGCGAGCCGTGTGTCTGTCCAGGAATGGGGTTGGAGTGGGATCTTGGTGCACCCAAGCCCAGCAGCATTGTAGACCCGACCTCATGCCAAGTGGGGATGTGTGTCCCCTGTCCCTAATCCTCATTTATCCCATGGGAGAAGGAGCATGGGGGGCTC